CTCGCAGGCCGAGCCGAGGAGGAGCAGCGGGCGGGCGCCTCGAGGCAGGCCTGTGTGTTGGCCCTTCCCTCTCCCGTCAGCCTCCTCATCACCGCGCCTCCGAAGGTCCGAGCAGTGGCCGCCCATGCTCCCGCGGTGACGCCTGGTTAACGGGTGGGGGGCTGGTTTCAGGTGCGGCGTGCTCCCCCCGGGGGGTTGGTGCTGCAGGAGTCCGAGGCCCTGCTCCTGCTCTGTTCTCATGCTGCCCCGAGTGAAAGACGCAGGCTCGTTGTGCTGTTATGGGACCCGCACTTGCAACGCCAGCCCTGTGCTAAGGGGTCGTCTTAGAGGGGACACTGCCTGGCGTTTGATCCACAAAGGTTCAAGCGTGTGTAGCGGCTCGCACGGATGGTGAGCCCTCCGTGGTGGATGCCGTGCTGCGGATTCGTTCACTCACACACACCGTGTTCCGGGCCGTGGACACGACCTGTATGAAGCAGCACACGTCCTATTGTTTTTATAAGTATTTGGGTAGTAGATGTGTCCATGTATCTATGCGCCTGGTTGTTGGATGTGCATGGTGAGCGGTCGTCCCTCCCCCGGAGGCGCCGCGGAGGCTGAGCCGCCTCGGGAGCGCTGGTGCTGAGACGCATGCCTTTCGTCCAGGTCCATCTCTGCGAAGTGGAGGGGATGGAAAGGTTCAAAGGCAAAGACTTGGCCATGGATGCCAGTGCCAGCCAGCCAGTCCTGGTGGCTGTGAAGATGCTCCGGGCAGACGCCAACAAGAATGCCAGGTCTGTGGCTGCCTTTTGAGTTTCCTTTATGTGTTTCATCCTCAGGTCTGGTCAGGGACACCCCGGGAAACTTCTGAGCAATCTTTTCTTTGGAGAGGGTAGGTCTGTGAGCCACCTCACGTTTCCATGGTTACGCGTTATCTTCTACCAGGCCAGCATCCTCACCTTTGTTCTCCATCTCCCTCCCAGAAAGCACATTTCCCACTGGACTCGCTACCTGTTCACTCCCTGACCGTCCGCACGGCCTGACCGTCCCACGGATGGCGTCCGAGTGGGCGCTTCCTCAGCCATTGTCCACAGAGGCTCCTGAGTGTCCTTACTGCCGGTCACCACGCTCCTGCTCAGCCTTCTCCGTCCTTTTTTCCATCTCCGTTTACTTTCTCACTTTTCCCCTCTTTTGTGCTCCTTTTCTTCTATGTCCAGCAACCCCCACAGTGAGAAGCTACCTCCACTTGGGAAAGGACCATGACCTCAAAGCGGAAGGATCCACAGTCCTTTAGCAGTTTCCCCAACGGGGACCCTCCCTCCATAGATGGCAGTCTCGCTGAGACTCAGAGTGAGAGACAGTTTCTTATCCCTCCTCAAACACCGTGAACTCCAAACACGGCGGAAAGGGTACAGGAAAGGCCTTGCCAACGGCAGGATGTGGGATGAAGAAGAAAAGCCAGGGAGGAGAACTGAGCGGGGCCGGGACTGCCACTGAGAACTCCAGTGTGAGGGACAAGAGCACGAATGACAGACGACACCCTGGGTCTCATCCAGCGATGGCACCCTCCCCCTGCGTCCACGCCCACTGAGCAGTGGTGGGCAGCCGGGGCTCTGGCCCCTGTAGAGCCATGGGGACCCCTGTTTGGGGTTGTTGTACTTGACGCGGTTCGGGAGGTGTCCATTGATAGAATTTTCCTAGAAAACTCCCAGGAGACTTAACCGATCTGCTCCGGTCATTTGGGGAATGTGGGCTGGTGGCCTCCCCGACCCAAATATCGCTGTGGGAAAGGGCATAGCCACTCTGTGACTCGGGCGGCTGCCACCAAATACACGAACAGTTACTAGTCTCGGCCCGGTGAGCACTTGTTTGAAATGACCGCATATTGCTGCCCACATCAACTGTAAGAAACCGTGTTGATGTTGGGACCGGCGCTGGGGTGCCTGCATCCAGAAAAGCCAGCAGGAGAAAACGCAGAATTGCCAGGTGGACCCAGGGTTTCTGCTTTATTCATAGAGTGGCTCCAGGGCTCTTCCTAGGGGTAAACTGCTGTGCTTGTCAGACGCGCTTTCGGTGAAGAGTTTAACTTCGCGAGCAGTTCTGGGCGGGCGTATCTGATGCAGCCGGGGGCACCTCTCCGCGGGCAGGCCTGTGGCTGGGTGCAGGCTTGCCGCCGTGACTCCCAGTTCTCGCTCTCAGAAGGCCGCAGTGCGGCCGGGCCTTGCTCCAGGCTGAGAGAGTGAGGCAGCCCGGCCGTCCTCTGTCCTCCCCAAGGTCGTCTGGGAACCAGGCTCGTTTGGGGGCGGGGGGGGACGGGCGCTGTGCCACCTTCGCCTCCTGACTGGCTCTGGCCCCTCTGGGCTTATCCACGTGTGTCTCTCTCCAAAGGAATGATTTCCTAAAGGAGATAAAGATCATGTCCCGGCTCAAGGACGCCAACATCATCCGTCTCTTAGCCGTGTGCATCGCCGACGACCCTCTGTGCATGATCACCGAGTACATGGAGAACGGGGACCTCAACCAGTTCCTCTCCCGCCACGAGCCGCCCAGCTCCAGCCCCAGCCAGGTGCCCACTGTCAGGTACAGCCGTGTCCCTCCCCTGTCTGCCTTCCTGACAGGGACCTCGTCTGCAGACGGGGAGCAGCGAACCCCACAGCTCGCTGTGTCCGGACGGCAGGGTTGGCGTGTGGGGAGTAGCCACGCAGGGAAGAGCAGAGAGCCATGTGGGGGTCGGCGTTGGCTGGAACCGTGCAGACTGTGCACTTGTCACGGCTCCTTCTGTCCACAGGCGACTTTCTCTCTTGTTTTTCCTCAGTTATGCCAACCTGAAGTTCATGGCGACTCAGATCGCCTCTGGCATGAAGTACCTTTCCTCCTTGAATTTTGTCCACCGAGACCTGGCCACACGGAACTGCCTGGTGGGCAAGAACTACACCATCAAGATCGCCGACTTCGGGATGAGCCGGAACCTGTACAGCGGGGACTACTACCGCATCCAGGGCCGCGCCGTGCTGCCGATCCGCTGGATGTCCTGGGAGAGCATCCTGCTGGTGAGCGGTCGTGGCCCGGGGGTGGGCGCCGCGGCCAGGGACTCCCGGGCCGCTGAGGCAGCCGCAGGCTTGGTGTCTGCTCAGATGGGATGACCTGCTTTGAGTGCTAATTGTTACTTTTTGGCACTTGCCTATTTCTGCTGGTAAATATGACATGCTCACTGTAGAAAACTTGGGGGAAAAGGGTTAAAAATACACCCATGGTGATAAGGGATTTAGTATTTTTCCCCTCTCTCCTTTCCACCTACTGAGTGGTCTTCATTAGTTTAGGGAATTAAAAAATCATTTAAAGAAATGTTATCCACACAAAATAGTTCTCTTCTGAATTAATTTCATAACCATATTTCTAATTCATTATTTACACTGATCTCTATATTTTTATTTTAATGATTATCACCGTTTACTTTTTATTTTAAGTTCATCATTCTTCGTTTTATAATTTTTATTCAACTCTTGGTCTTCTGGACCGTGGGTGGGTAAGAGAGACTTTTTTTTCCAAATGTCATTTCTTCTGACCATCGGCCCTGAGCCCGTGTCCAGGGGAAGCAGCCCTGAGTGAGGCACAGGTGTGGGGACTGCCCGGTCCTCTCAGCGCCTCCGCCGGCCATTTCAGAACCCCGGGGGGGGGGGCGGTCACTCAGGCTGTGAGACCCCAGCCCCTCCTGCGGGCAGGTGGTTCTTATTTTCTCTCCTGCCCCGATCTAAACAGGGCAAGTTCACCACGGCCAGCGACGTGTGGGCCTTCGGGGTGACCCTGTGGGAGGCCTTCACCTTCTGCCAGGAGCAGCCCTACTCCCAGCTGTCCGACGAGCAGGTCATCGAGAACACCGGGGAGTTCTTCCGGGACCAAGGGAGGCAGGTGAGGCGGAGCTGGGAGGCGGGGCCGGTGCTCTCTCGGGGGAGAGAGCGGGCCTGGCTTAGCAGGACAGGCTGGCTGGAGGACGGGCCACCGGATGAAGTCCTTTGTCACGAATCATCCAGATAACGTGAAAGACCAGTTCTTGCCCAGGCACCGTGCACACACTGCTTCTGTGTCCCCCTAGGATCCTTGGGGGTAGGAGGGGGCAGGTCAGGCTCCTCGCCAGCCCAGACATTCCAGGAAATAAAATCCTCGCTCTCAGGTTTGATCTATCTCTTGATTTAAACCGTGAGGTTTGTCTCCCTGGTTGACAAAGAGAAGCTTGAAAGTAAGTAAGTGATTTATTAGCGTTCATTAAAAATTGGTTTGGACTTTCTGGCGATGTTTCTAGACGTCCATGTCCCGAGACAACCAGGTGCGCCTGGACTTCCCACCCTCGGCCGGCACTGCCTCTCAGGACAGGGCAGCAGGGCTTCCAGCCTCAGGGGTCCCCGCTGCTGGCCGGGTGCTCTCAGGCCGGTGGCTGACGCAGTGAAGCTCCTGTGGGTGGGAATCGAAGCTTCTGGCCGCAGGGCCCTGGGGTGCGGCACCAGCGGGGAGAGGAGGCTCTGGCGGAAGAGGAGACATGGGTCCCAGGGTGCAGATCGGGCCAGGCCAGTGTGCGCACGGGGTGGCGGACGATGAGGGCGCAGCTGCACGTGGGGAGCGCGCTGCGGCTGGATTTTACCTTGACACTCAGTGGCCATGTGTGGCAGCGGATCTCAGTCCTCTTTCTTGTTATGAGGCCACAGCTCCCTGCCGTGGCGGAGGGCAGGTTTACTGCGAGTGCAGGAGGGAAGGGAAGGGGCCAGAAGCTCTCACCTCCCCTGGCAGCTGGGCTTCTGGGAAGAGGCTGGTTCTGGTTGGAGTGGATCCTGGAATTATCAGCGAGGGAGGAGGATGGTCTCTCTCAGCTACTGTCTGGGGACTGAAATCCCACAGGGGAGAATGTGTCCTTGAGGCTGAATCGGACCATAAACAGCCGCAGAAGCCAGCATGCTGGCCCCGCAGGTCCACTGCTGCTCACGTGTCACACAGCTTTGACGCAGCACTAAGGTTACAAATTTAGTTACTTAAATGTTATGCTATTCAATTTCATGATATGATAGTTTTGTCATTTAATGGAGTTTTAATTTCTAATAATCTCTGGGATTTTTTATTCATTTTGTTATTTTTTAAAATAATTCTTTATTGTTGAAAGTATTACATATGTCTGCTTCCCCACCCCCCCCCATTGACCCCCTGCAG